GTGTCATTTTTGCGCTGAAGATGTCGATCCTCCACCTGTGAACCCTCCGACAATTGTGTTGATGTCGTGCCTATGCGTAGTCTATGGTTCTGCCTCGTTAAAAACCTGATCGGCCAAAACCCCTTTGTAATTTTTTATAAGGGGAGAAAAGACCGATCCAGGAAAAAAAGTGCACTTTGATGTACATATATTGTCATTACATAAATAATGAAACAGGTCTTCGACATTTAACTATAATAGGTCTTCAGGTGTGTTGAATTCCATGTTCTAGGGATGACTTTGCTCGATAGCTCCTCAAGTTTGTACGCTCCATTGCTCAAGCTGTGGCGAACTCTGAACGGTTCGTCCTAGTTGGCTGCCAACTCACCTTCCCTTGGATTCTTCTTGGCCGAACCTTGCGTTCTCCAAACCAAGTCTTCTTCTTTGAAGCTCCTCGGAATGAGATTTGAATTAAACCTTTGAGCCATTCTTTGCCGACAGGCTTCGGCAATTATCCACGCTTTGTTGCGCACTTCATCCATCAAAGGTATTACCACCTTTTCCATAGTATGTGTAACCAATTCGAAGAAGTGCAAGTCAAATACACACCAGATCAACTGGCTCGATTAGCTAGCAATGGACGTAAACAAAGTCAATAATTCCAATACATAAAAATAAAATTTTTTTGGAATGTTACACTAAGAGTGCATTGGACGAAGAACATTATTCTTGCAAAAATAGTTTAAAATTCCTTCTTACACACACACACATATTCAACACCCCCTTCTATGTGTTTCATGTCTAACTTCACCTTATGTAAAAACTTGGGAGCCAACCTTAGGGATAACTTGGTTTTGAAGTCCCAATCTTGTCTTTAATGTGTATGGGATGTATCTTGCACTACTCAATCATCTTGACCTAACCCTGATAGTATATCCTCCTAGCGAGTGCGTTGAGGATGTAATCCGGCATATACTTTTAGGCTACTTTGCATGTATTACTAGTAGCAACACACAAATGTGATATGTGATGTTTTTACTGGTGCCACATGAATAATAACATATAGTCTGTGTCCATTGCATAATGCATCTTAATGTTATGTGGTATTTAATTATTATGTCATGAAATGGTTAAATGAATTATTGTTAACAATCTATCTATGTTGTGTATATATGTATATGTCTTGTTTGTGTTTGGTTGTCCAACTATATCTTATTCCGTGAACTTGAGTGAGATGATTCTATTCTCCTTATTTTGTGTTTGTCTTTATTGTATGTTCTTGCAGGTGATTGATTTACATCATAAGATTGAATATGTTGTTGATGAGGCCTAATCCTTGCAATTGAGTTTATACTCTGATAGGATGTGATATCAAGGCTTAATTTATAATTAATGTTTCTTTAGTTATGCTTTGGACTATGGTTACTTTAATGTATTAGATTTCATTTGGATATTAATTGGTTTTGTTTTGTTCAAATGTGATATTCTCTGTGTTGAACACGATAGATTTTCATTATGATAAACTTATTGATTCAATTTTATTTATTTCAAGTATTATGGTATGTGAGATCGAGGGTGTTACAAATCTTATGTACCATTTGTTTGCAAACCTTAAGCTTGAAACAAATTTGTTCAACATTTGTTCCTCGCATCCCCCACTCTTAATTGTTTCTCATAATCTCTCCTCTTATTCCATTGATTTGTTACAAAAAACAATTCTAGAACTCAAGTTGAATCGCAACATGTGACAAAATTTTAAAGACAATGATATGTTCTATGTGAACATTTACATAAAGCCTATAAATACATGTTAAGTAGCAGCATTGTGACTTTACATGTCCATGTGTAACCTACTAATGTAGTGTTGTTATTGATGTACTTACTTGTATCGATGGAAAAAGATGGTGCAAACATGAAGAATCAACACTAGGTTAGTTTGGTCGTGTATGCTCTTATAACAAAGCCAAAAAACGTGTGTATGAGTTGTCTTAACATGCTTGTTTATTCACTCAATTCTTCTAGGTTGGGCATTTTGAAGTTTATTAGCACCAAAAATGTCAAGTTTTTTTCCATAGTAGAATTGAACCAAAATAACACCATGAGATTTTGCATAATAATATTGTAATTAGCATAATAAAATAATCATATACATTCTTCTTTATTATCTCACATGATATAATTTTTCATAAATAATTTTTTAACACAAAAATACACCATTAAAAGAAAATAGATAAAAGGAGAAGTTTGAAAACAAAATGAACTAGTCTTCAAATTGCATGAATTAAAAAATCACTTTTAAATGAAAAAATTAAAATTAAAATTATTTCATATTTAAAAAATTAAAAACATATTTAAGAAAAAAGAAATGAGGATAGTTTGTAGAAAAAAGGAAGTCCAAAAAGAAGAAAGGGAGGTGGTATTAGTAAGAAAAATGATAAGGCCCACCTTATTGAAAATGGTCCAAGTCTTGAATTGAAGGACACCCAATTCACCCAAAGACATAACTATCACACACACGCACATCATTGTCACTTTCCCCATTTCTCAGACCCAAACCACCCAGCAACAAAAAACCTTCTTCACTCAAATCTCACGCATTCTCTTGCTCTCGCTCTCTCTTCTCAGCTTCCTTGTCATGACACTTCTTCATTCCTTGCCCACCATGACCAACTTTTCCTCCAACCAGATTCGCTTTCTCCTCAGCTCCCTCAACGAAGTCAACTTTGACTCCGTTTTCCATCAACTCTCTCAGGTCATTTTTTCATTCCCCTTTCTTCTCCTCCAAACCCCATCTTCTTTTTACAAATTTTACTTTCTGGGTTTCTTTCGAATTTCATCTGTGTCTTGTGGGGTTCGTCAAGTTTCTTCCTTTCACATGTGGGGTTGCGGAAAACCAAACTCCCTTTTAGGGAATCGAATTTTAAATTGTCTTGACGTGCTTTGTGTGTGTGTTCAATGCTTTAATTTGGCGAGCGTGGTGTACGGTTGTTGAATATGATGTGTTTGGAAATTATTTTGTGGATTTGTGTAGGAGCGTGTTTTTAGGGTTTATGCCAGTGTTGTTTTTCCGTATCCAGTTTTATGCGTATGATGCTGTTGGTCTTCTTTTGAAATGCTGCATTAGGTGTTGTTATCTTCCTGTGACAAGGAGAATCAATCTAGCTTTTGTTTTTCTTGCCCACTGATTTGTGTTAGTAAGTTGGGGTATGAGATGATTAACTGATGAGTTCTGGCTTATGTAGAACATGATGTTGTAGGCCTTGAGCTTTGTGCATTGATAATCATTGTTTTTCTGGTGTGTTGAGTTTGTGAATAGCTGAGAAGAGCAGACAGTGTTTGGGAGGTGATTATAGAGGATAGGATCTGGAGGCTTTGTCCCTTGGATTCAAGTTTGCATAATCGAGGGATTCCCGAGGGAAACTAATGGTTTTAGTGAACAAATATAAGATACTGAGACAGTTGTCTTCTTCGATAATGGTCCAGTGTTCTATGTTGCTTCTCTGGTGGTTTATGATGTTTGATGTTTCACCATGATTTACTTATGGAATCTTGAGCGAAGTTCTATGCTATTATTTTTCTGCATGCTTTATGGGCTTGCATCTTTGTTTATCTCTTGTCTTGCTCAGTTCTCTCTTTTTTGCATTATGCTCTCGTGAATTACCTTAATTTGTGGAATAATAAGCAAATATTGGTTTGTGCAGACCTTAGTATATTTGCTTAGAGGTGATCTTTAATTTGTAATTAATTCATATTTGGAATCTTCTCTGCATTGTCAAAACGATTGGATTGGTTATTGATTTGTAATTTCTTCTGCTGACAGTTCACGGAATTTGGAACTACCGGATGCATTTTGCTGCTTCGAACTTGCTTGGATCACTATGGTTATCTCAGAAGAGATACGAAAGACATGCAGTATGAGCCAATTCTTGGGGCAGTCATTAAGTACCTGTTGGACAGACCAAACTTTAGTACGGTGTTTTCTGAGTCAATGAAGAATGTAGAAATTAATGAAAGCTTTTTAGAAAGTTTTTGTAATGGATTGCAGTTATCTTTATTGGAAAAAATTGTCACCAGTCTTGCTTTATCTGATTCTGAGAATACTGATGTCAGGCTGTGTGGTAAGTATGACGATAATTTATAATTTCAGTTCTTTCTTATTGTTTTTCCTACATATATTTTACTTGACAAATAATGTTTACATATTTTTATAATGATAGTTTCATGGTCATTGTATACTATCTATTGTGTTAATATTTTTGTGGTTATTATTATATATTTGGCCTAAAATATTGCTTGTGTACAGGCAAAAATTTTTGCATGGCTCGGATTGAGGAATTGTGTGTCAACCCTGGTTCTTTGAGTTGCCATGATCAAATTCACAATATTATCATCTTCCTTAAGCAGTCTGAGGGTCTTTCCAAGCATGTGGATTCCTTTATGCAGATATTATCACTTGTGCAGTTCAAAGACACGCCACCTTTTGTCTTGAATCCATTGCTTCCTGATGAGATGCATGAGGCTGATTTTTTAAGGTGGCAACTTATTTAGTAATCCTCATTGTATTGTATTGTATGAGTGAAGCATTATGGTCAAAAGTCATGTTAATTACAGAACACTGACTGATTACCATTTTATAAGTTAACTGCTCATCATTGTGTCAATAATATTGAAAACTTATTAATTTAACTACTGAAATAAGTGGTTAACATATGAATCCTTTTAACCGTTAATTAAATTTAAAATGTTGGTAAAATAAAACTGGAATCCACTTTTGAATATAATTTTACATTTGTTTTATATTATTAATTATTAATATTATTTTTTATTGATAATAATCAATTCAATCATGAGATTATGATGTTGCTATATCTGTGATAGATGTTGAATTACATGCTTGCTTAGTGGCTTTCCCTGTGTCTTTACAGGAATATGGAGTTTTTCCACGAGTGTGGGGAAAATGATTTTGATGCTATTTTGGCAGACATACAGAGGGAAATGAGCATGGGTGATATCGTGAAGGAACTAGGCTATGGATGTACGGTTGATGTCTCGCAGTGCAAGGAAATATTTTCGCTCTTCTCACCTTTAACTGAAAATACGCTCTCTAAATTACTTGGTGCTATTGCTTGTACCCATACTGGGCTGGAGGACGACCAAAACACATACTTAACTTTTCGTGCAGCCCATGGATACAATGTGTCTGAGTTGCCGCCGCTGAACTCTTGGAATATTGATGTCTTGATTGATACAGTCAAGCATCTCGTGAGTTTTCTTCAATAAAACTTAAAATCCAATCTCGTCATAAGCTTTTATTCCAGTTAGTGGAATTTTAATGAATGAAGTAAATGCTTTCAGTTTAATGTGCTTTCTGATACAGGCACCTCAAACCAATTGGGTACGTGTTATTGAAAGTCTTGACCATGAAGGGTTTTTCCTTCCTAGTGAAGAAGCGTTCTCTTTTCTCATGTCTGTGTATAAGCTTGCCTGTAAGGTATAATATCGGAACTCTACATATGCTTTTCCTGGGGCTTAATTGATTTGCATACAAACTGGCCTAAAATTCTGAATGTATGAAAATGAACCTTAGCAGGAACCATTTCCTCTCCATGCCATCTGTGGGTCTGTCTGGAAGAATACTGAGGGTCAGTTGTCATTCCTTAAATATGCTGTATCAGCACCACCAGAAATGTTTACCTTTGCACACTCGGGAAGATTGCTGGTATTATGATCTGTTTGCCCATTTTCTGTTTCTTGTTCCTGTTGCCAAATTTTTATGACCGTATATGTAGACTTATATCAGATCCTTTAAAACAAATGTCTGTGCAGGCATATGTTGATGCAATTAATGGTCACAAGCTTCAAAATGGACATGCAAATCATGCATGGCTGTGTCTTGATCTTTTAGATGTCCTCTGCCAGCTAGCTGAGAAGGGTCACGCCAGTATTGTTCGATCAATCCTTGAGTATCCCCTTAAACACTGTCCGGAAGTCTTGCTTCTTGGGATGGCACATGTTAATGTACAATTTATTGTATTCATATTTTTTGGTTCTCCACTGTATCCCATTTCATGTCTTTTCTTGATATGAAGTTTGCATTTGTTGTTCTTGCAGACTGCCTACAACCTCCTGCTGCGGGAAGTATCTTTGATTGTTTTTCCCATGATTGTCAAAAGTGCTGTAGGCAGTGGGATGATTCTACACCTTTGGCATGTTAATCCCAGTCTGGTCCTTAGAGGGTTTATTGATTCTCAAAACAATGATGCAGACAGCATTATAAGAATTGTGGACATCTGCCAGGAGCTTAAGGTTGTTCTCTTGTTAAGTGTATATTTATCATTTTGTATGATTTCATGATAGATAGATTTCACTGTTAGTTATCATGATTTTTCTTGTTTGAATCTAATCTCTGTTCAAATAAGCCATTTTCACTTTCCTTGAGTCCTTTTGTTTCCTTGCAATAAGCTTTTCAGTTTGTCTTCATGAATGCCAATCTCGTCTCGATATTGTTTTTTGCCATTTTTAACACATGTTTTTTATTTGTCATACAGATTCTATCATCTGTGGTGGAAACTATCCCCTCTTATTATAGTATAAGGTTAGCAGCTGTTGCATCAAGAAAAAAATTCCTTGACCTTGAGAAGTGGTTGAGTAGCAACTTAACTACGTTCAAGGAAGTCTTTTTTGAGGTAATAATGTTTTCCCTCATGCCTTGATTTATAATTTTTAAAGACAGTACAATTACATATTTTTTCATTCTTTTGGTCTTGTGCATTTTTAGTTCGACTCTAAATTTATTGTAGCAGAATAATGGCTGATGTTGTTAGGCTTACTCTGCAGGAGTGCCTCAAGTTCTTAAAGGATGCCCATTTTGGTGGATCACAGAACCTTTCTGGCAAATCTTTTCATCAGTCTGGTGCTGTTCTTAGTCTATACAGCGAGACAACTGCTACCGTCTTGAAGGTTATACATCAATCATTTTGTTTCCCTGCCTGTACTAGTCTTATTTGATTTTCATTTTTATTGTGGGATTTGACCTTTTCCGATTTCAGGTTCTTAAATCCCATACTGACTCAGTTGCCTCTGGACAACTTTCTGAAGAGTTGGAAAGGCTGCATATATCTATTATAGATTCGAATCCGAGGCTTCAAAATGGTGGGACTGCTGATTCATCTACTTCTGATGGATATTCAGAAGACGTTGAAGCAGAAGCAAACACCTTATTCCATCAAATGTTTTCTGATCAGTTAACCATTAATGCAATGGTCCAAATGCTTGCTCGATTCAAGGAATCATCATTGACCAGGTTATATTTTTTAAATTTCATTTAGACAGTCCATTTCTTTAAATAACTAGTATTGTATTATTTTTGAAGCTCAAGTTCAAAAAAAACTTTTTGTGGATTTGTGATAGGTAGTAACCTTTCTATAGTGGTTCTTTAAGCTTACTGTATCTATTAATGGCCCTTAGACCTTGCCCGAGGGGAAGGAAATTTAAACTTTCAAGGTCAAGTTCATGTGTATGTTCTTGTTCTTTGTTTGGAAATTCTGTCAATGGCATCATATGTATCTTTTTATCTTACAACTTTAGATAATATATAATCTATCAACTATTGAAATTTTTTGTAAATCATTTAAAAAATACATTAAATATTGTTTGATCCTTGAACCTGTTGTAGATCACCATTGTTAAGCATTTACTCTAAGTTTTCAACATAATGTTTTATGCATGATTGGACCAACTAAAATTCTATCATGTAGGTGAATCTGATCTGTATCTTCTTGTCTCATTGAAGATTGTTATCATCATGCTTGAATTGAGAATGTGCCTGTATTCTTTATAATAATAAGAAACTTGAACCTTACCATGCAGGTCCTATCTTAATTATGTATATTGTTATTGTATTTAAATTAAAGTAAACTTTAATTGGAAGTTTTTCAGGAATAATACATTACTAGATCTCTTTGATATCATTTGTTTCCAGATTGCTTAATTATTATGTGGTCCTTGGTTAAGTACTAAATTCCTGTCAATGTTGGTGCGAGTTAACAGGGAGAATTCAATTTTTGAATGCATGATTGCAAACTTGTATGAGGAGTATAGATTTTTCCCAAAGTATCCTGAAAGGCAACTTAAAATTGCTGCTCTTCTCTTTGGTAAGTTTGCTTTTGGCATTGCAGATGATTAAATTTAACTTCTTTTTAATGATCACCAGTGTATTGGGGTTTGTGTTGGTGTTTCAACTAGGCAACTTTAGATCTGAATTGGTAATTTGCAATTTAAGTAAAATGTTTTTGAATATGCTTGTAAGTGTTCATCTTGTAAGCATTTAAACTTTTGGGATTGAATCTATGTTGAGCTTGAACAAGAAATAACTGATATCGATCATGAGCCATGCCTTTTTGAGCTAGATTTAAATTTGGAGATTTTCCAAAATGTTAAAGCATTTCATGCCATGAACTAGAGTGAAAAGTGTGTATAATGTCTTGTTTATGTTTGGTTATCCGGTTTACATTCCTATATTTTGAGCCAAAATAAGATGTTTTTCACTGCCATTGTCTTTGTTGTTGCTCTTGTGTTGATTCTACATGTGATGATCAATATGATATTGAAGATGTCAGTGATGAGGCTTAGGCTTCATGTTGGATTACTCTGATTGGACATGTGACATCGGGACATAATTAGGATCTTTCTAAGACTAGATTAAGATATTGTTCTATTGAATTATTTAGGAAAACATTCGTTTTATTTCCTTGTAATTTCAATTGATTATGTTATTTTGTTAAGTTAAGAATATGATGCTTTCTACCTGAACACATTTTGGTTTTATTTATAAAGAGATATGTTATTCAATTTTCATTATTTATATATTATGACATGTAGGATAGAGAGTTTCACAATCATATTAGCAACTTTCATGTAAAACAAGATATCTCCATTTTTTAGGTTGTGATTATTTCTTTCATAAACTATAATAAATTACATGAAATGTTAAATATCTCATATTGATACATGACATTGTGTGATTTATTTTATAGTTTTTTAAAGTCAAAGAAATTATGAATGATGTATTGTATAAAGAATTAGAATTATTCTCGAAAAGTGTGACACTATTTAGTTTAATTATTTATTATTTTTGTTATATGTTTTCTTTCATGTTAATGTTAACTAAAAGTAATAATAAAATATTTATTTGCTTTCATAAATTGTAGGGAAGCTAAAAGTCATTCTGAAGTGAAATCATTATTTGGTCTTCTTATTAAGTGATGGCAACCCTCTTTACATGGATTGAGATAGGAGCATCAAAGAGGGAAGGTCGGACTCCTTGGATCATGGAACTCAAGGTTTCTAGCCTTGGTGATAGAGATGAGCGAATGGTGTTTATGGAGGCTAGGTGTTTGATAAAATGATAGAATGGTACTCTAGGGTTTTTGGCTCACTTCACTAATGGATGAAGGCCTCTCCTAAAGGTTAGAACACTCATGGTGAAGATGAGGAAGAGAGGTGGCCGAATTGACCAAGGTGACTAAGGAAGGATATTAAGCTCAAAGGCACTCTCAATATCATAAATTTCAAAGTATTTACAAGGAGGCTAGCCTAGGGTATTTATAGAAGGGAGGATGCATTTAGGGTTACATTTGAGAGTGCATGGCCAAGTAATGCAAGCCAAATGCACTTTAAATGAAACCTAAATTAACCCTAGATGCTACTTGGTGGCCAAGGATGGAATCTTTGAGTTTGGTTAAGCTACATCTAGGTGTTTGATAAGACCATGCAACCTAGGTGCCCTCCACTTGGGCCTAAACCTTGCCAAGTCCAAAAATAAATCCAATGCCACCAAAAAAACATGTCTAGGCCTAGTTTCCAACCTTAATAAAATACCCTAGCTATAAAATAAAATCCTATAATCTAAGGCACCCTATAATACAAGGGTAAAATGTGAAATACAAGTAAAAATAAATCCTATAACTAAGACACCCCAAAATACAAGGGTAAAATAGGAAATACAAGAAAAATAAATCTTATGTCTAAGGTGCCCAAAATACAAGGGTAAAATAGAAAATTAAAAACAAGGGTAAAATAGGAATAAACTAAATTCAATGCTAACAAGGCTTAAGAGAATGATTAATAGCCATAAGAAGTATGTCTCTCTGGCACACCGGCCCGGGTCCAGGCTCTGATACCAAATGTAACACCCCAGCAATTATAATTATGTAAAGGGTAAAAGTTTAAATATATTTTAACCATTATTATTATAGATGTAAAGAAAAACTAGATTGTATATATTATTAAGAAAACAATAGAGACATAAGTTAAAAAATGACAAATATTTATAATTTTACAATATTTCAATATAATTAATATGCACTTCATTAATGAATAATGATAGAAATAATTATATAAATAGGATAAAATTATTTATAGTAATACATATCAATAGATGAATTATTTACAGAGGCACGAAGTGTCTCAATGTGGCACCCTCTACCTTGCATATCATATCACATAAATAATATAAAAATAAAATTCCTCATTTGCAAAAATAAGCTCAAAATCCACATCATGTAAAGAGAAGCTCATGGTGCTCCTTCTCCTATGTTCTCTAACTGCAAATTGTCCAGGTCTGGGAATGACTTCTTTCATGATCCCACTTTTTTTCGATCTGTTGTTGGTGCCTTACAGTATGCTACACTTACAAGACCTGAAATCAGTTTTGCTGTTAACAAAGTTTGTCAATTTATGGCTACTCCTCTTGACTCTCACTGGGTGGCTGTCAAACGTATCCTCAAGTATTTAAAAGGCACACTCTCTTATGGTCTTCATATGCAACCTGCTGCTGTAAACGGCCCCATCTCTCTCACTGCCTTTTGTGATGCTGATTGGGCCTCTGATATTGATGACAGGAGGTCCACTTCTGGTTCTGCTATCTTTTTTGGACCCAATTTGATATCTTGGTGGTCCAGGAAACAGCGTGTTATTGCTCGGTCCAGCACAGAAGCTGAATATCGCAGTATAGCCCAAGCCTCTGCTGAATTAACTTGGATTCAAGCCCTTTTGCAGGAACTTAAGGTTCCCTTTTCTACACCTACTTTACTCTGTGACAATCAAAGCGCGGTGGCCATTGCTCACAATCCTGTTTTCCACAGCAAAACAAAGCACATGGAGATTGATGTGTTCTTTGTTCGTGACAAAGTCCTATCCAAGCAACTTCTAGTTTATCACATACCAGCTCTTGATCAATGGGCTGATCTTCTTACTAAGCCTTTGTCTGCTGCTCGGTTTGAAGTTCTTAGGAACAAACTCAAAGTGCAAAGTTTTTGTGTCAAAACTTCACCTTGAGTTTGAGGGGGGCTGTTAGTGTATATGGGTTACAACAAAAGGGAATATTTGTTTGTTTGTGCTTTTTGCTTTTTGCATTCTGTGATATCTTTAGGATATCTTCAGAATCTTTTTAGTGGACAGCTGTCCTGCCACCTCTCTAATTTTTCTCTCTCTGCTGGTTGCTTTTACAACCGTTTTCTCTCTTTTCTCTCACTGTTGTTTTTAGAAAAGGTTCCCTATATATTCAGCTCTCCTTGTATTCCTTCGTAAGCATCAACGATAATAAAACTTCACTATTACATTTTACCTCTCTTGATTTTATCTAACAATGTTACAGATGTTTTTGTTTGGAAGTCTGGCATTGGAGCAGTTTGTGGAACGTCTTATTGAGTGGCCTCAGTATTGCAATCATATTCTTCAAATTTCCCATTTGCGCAATACACATGCAGAAATAATTGCTTTCATCGAACAGGGTCTTGCCAGAATTTCCTCTGGTCATTCAGATGTTGATGGGGCGAGTCATGCTTCTGTCATTAGTAACCATCATTCTGCACAGGCTACATTAGGGCATGTAGAGGTAAAAGTAAATTCTTTTTTTCCTTTGTGTTTGTCTTGTATGTTCTTTTTCTAGCTTATGGCTCAGTTTAATTTTACAATTTGCGTTAGGTGGTGCAGTTGCCCATGGATAGTCAGTTAGGATTTCAGTTTATGCCTTTTTTTAATGCCATTTCATGTATTTTTATTTGTTCACATATTGCCACTGGTGCCTAAGTTGGTTGTTCTGAACCTACTTTTTGTATTAAAAAAGATCATTTATAAATGTTCTTATGTTCAATATGATTATACTTCTAATTGTGCTTGAGGTATGTGGATTTGGTTGACATTCAGCAATGTCAATTTTTGATAGAAGATGAAATTCTAATAGAATGAACAAAAGGAATTGACAAGTAGGGGAGAATACGCTATCCTTAAAATCATCGAATTTTATATACAAGTAACATGGGAAAACTAAAATTGCAACAAGGCTACCTATTCTGTATGCACATCTAAAAAAGTATCCAATTTAAAATATCCATGACCATTACTGGATCTGTTAGCTCAAATGACCTAACAGAGAAATTGACTGCCACATTGTTTGTGGAAAGGTTATGTCCTAAGAAATCAATGCTGAGTCTGTTAGCTCAAATAATCAACCCGCAGAAGACATCTTGACAAAATTCTTAAGGGGACCACAGATCCAATTTATTTGATCCAAGCTTGGTGCATTCAACTTGAATGCTCCAGCTTGAGGGAGGGGGGTGTTGGAAATGATTTCTATTACCAGGGAACTAATGTCTAGGAGAGCTGAATGGTCAGATTCACGTATAGTAGCTTATTATTATTCTAACCCTGGGAGTTGCATAGTCTGATTATTGCTGTTAAATGTAACTCAATCTGAAATGATTATAAATAGAGATACTGCCGTGTTCTTCAACACTCAAGCATTTTCCCGGATTTGGATCCTCTCCTGGAATCCTCTCTCTCCAGCCTCTCTCCAGCAACAATAATAACCGTTGGATATATCTAATGGCTCAAATTCAATCTTATAAGAATCATTTAAAATAAATGTTAACTATTAGATTAACACTTGGACATTCTTTACCAGCTTCATCTCAACTTCCACTTCCTCTAACGTAAACTGGTAAACCACTAAACCACCCAATAAAAATTACATTGACAAACAATCCAAACCACGTAACCTCTTGTATTTTAATGTGCAAAAATATTATTACAAAACTAATCAAAATTATTACAATATTATTTAAGAAATCACATTAGTTTTGTAATAATATTTTTGGCTATGCAATAATCAAAATTATTTAAGAAATATATACAAGTATATTGAGAATAAAAATTATTTTCCCGCTTAATTTTATTTTTTTTGGTAATCTTTATGAAACTGAGTTTTCAGTATGAAAAATTAAAACCTAAGCCCTTTGACTTAGAAATTACATGGTAAATGAGAAATTCAACATTATGTGATTCTTTAAATCTTGGTTTTCACTATGGTAAAAATTTGACTTTCATTGCTAACTTGCTTTGGAAAAAATACAAAAGGTTACGCTGTTTGGATTTTTTGTCAATGTAGCCTTTATTGGATGGTTTATGAGTTTACGTTGGAAGCAGAATTTGAGATGAAGCTGGATTGTTTGATTAGTTTTGTAATAATATTTTTGCACATTAAAATACAAGAGGTTACATGGTTTGGATTGTTTGTCAATGTAATTTTTATTGGGTGGGTTATGAGTTTACATTAGAGGAAGCAGAAGTTGAGATGAAGCTGGTAAAGAATGTCTAAGTGTTAATCTAATAGTTAACATTTATTTTAAATGATTTTTATAAGATTGAATTTGAGCCATTAGATATATCCAATGGTTATTTATGTTGCTGGAGAGAGGCTGGAGAGAGAGGATTGCAGCAGGAGAGGATCCAAATCCCATTTTCCCCCTACATCTCATTATTCATCTATAATTATTTTTGCGGAGACCTATTGCTGTGGTATTTGTTTTTCTAGGGAAAGAAACCTGTTACTTGATAAGGTTATAGCAGAATGACAAAATTATATTCTGTCTTTATAGTAGATAAGTTATTTGCTTCTTTGTTTAATTACTTCCTTAAAATTTTTCTGTTTAAGGTAACATATTTTGTTTATGCTTTATCCTTGTAGCAGCTGAGCGGCCCTAGCGTCGTACAACCTGGGCAGCAACATTTGTCACTGCAGCTTCAACAGAGACGTGAAAATCCCTTGGATGATCGTCACAAAACTTCTGTTGGTTCATCTACAGATGTGAAACCACTGTTATCTTCTCTGGGGCAATCATCAGTACTAACACCTGCTGATGCTTCTAGTACTAATAAGGTATTATACTTCTATCTTGTTTTTAGAGCATGACGTGAATGGTGTGCCACCTTTATATCTCCTTCATGCAGTATTTTGTATTCTTACTGTTATTGTGTTAGAGACATTCTTGTGTGGTTGAGAAGGATACTCTGTAGTTTCAGTTACAGCTGTTAGTTTCTATTGTAACTGTGTTGGTTGTTTAATAAGTGATTTTTTGTGATTTTCTTAAATATTACTCTTGTTATTACTCCTTCACATTCTCAGTTTCTCATGCTTTATAGTTTGTTCATGCTCATATCATTTTATACTGGAGTTAATTTTGTTGCTACATTTGCAGTTACATAGCACAGTCAGCTCCTCGTCAATGCTGTCTTCTGCTTCACCTGGTTTTGTTCGTCCTTCCCGTGGAGCTACTTCTACCAGTATATTTCTGTTACTTGTGAACAGTTTCTATTGTTTAGCATAAAGCCTATATTAGCCTTTATTATGCTTTCATTTTCTGAATATATGTTGCCCTCTTTTGATCTCTGCATCTGATGCAGGGTTTGGATCTGCCTTAAACATTGAAACATTGGTTGCTGCTGCTGAGAAAAGAGAAATTCCTATTGAGGTGCTCTAGCCCTTTACAATAAATTGAACAGATTGGCTGTGTTCTTGAGTTTTGTTAATGGATTTGTTTAGTTATTTAGATTCTCCATTATTTTACGTAGCTACTTAAAAATAGTTTTGAAGTGTTTTGTGTTTCATCTGCTCCATATTTTATTTTAATATCTTATACAAATCTAGATTTGGATTTCTTTTGCGGTAATTTAACCCTCATTTTGCTGTTAACAGGCTCCAGGGTCAGAGGTTCAGGACAAGATATTATTTATAATTAATAATGTTTCTGCTGCTAATATTGAAGCTAAAGCAAAAGAGTTCACTGAAATTTTGAAAGAGCAGTACTATCCTTGGTTTGCTCAGTATATGGTTATGAAAAGGTTAGCATGATTCATAAGTCAACTCTTGTATCATCTAATTCCTTAAAACAGTTGAATCCATGTAGAAATATGGGGCAAGGGTATATATTTAGGGTTTTATGATGATTAAGTGCAGCTGGGAAGTTTAAATGGACTGTTGGGGTAAATCAAGAAATAAATAGCGTAGGGTACTATAACAGATTTTAGAAACTCATAAATTTGGCGTTGGATTTGTTTTAGTCCTGCTTTACTGCATTGTTAACCAATAAACCAAAGTATAATTTGGGTATAAAATCACATTTTGTATTCTTGTATTATGATTTATGTTGAAATAATAGATATTTTCGGTGTACTCAATTTGCCATACAAAATATACTGAATCAAGAGTTAACTGATTTGTTGACTCAGCTTAAACATGCCAAGAATGGGGTATTAGATGAAACAAAAAACCCATTTTTAATATTCTTTCCATTTCTCTATAGTTTGAATTGTAAGTAAAAAATGAATTTAAGAGAGAACAGGAAGTCATTAAAACTCAGGATCTAAAGGGAGTGCTTTCGGATTTGGAGGTGGAGGAAGATTCATGTTTTACTTTGTTTTTGTTCCTATATAATGAATCCTTTTTTTTTTTTTCCAACTTCCTTTATTTTTCAACACATCCTACAATACAGCTGCTATATTGATCTATATAATTGGTACCTCCATTTACTTCCACTTATACCCAATTGATACTTCTTTCTAGAGCAAGCATTGAGCCAAATTTCCATGACTTGTACCTGAAATTCCTGGATAAGGTTAATTCAAAGGCTTTGAACAAAGAGATCGTCCAGGCAACATATGAAAATTGCAAGGTTTGAGCCTTGTTTATGTTCCCTACTTGATTAAAGTGAAGATGTGTCTATAAAATAAAGTTTTTTTTACATATTCTTGGTGTTTGCATATTCTTCAGGTTCTTTTAGGATCAGAGCTCATAAAATCAAGTTCAGAGGAACGTTCTTTGCTTAAAAACTTGGGGAGTTGGCTTGGGAAGTTAACAATTGGCCGGAATCAGGTTTTGAGGGCTCGTGAAATAGACCCAAAGTCTTTGATTATGGAGGTAATAAATTGAATATTAGTCAGAGGAAGATGGCTTTTCAAGTGATCATTTGCTTATCAATTTTTTTTTCCCATGTTGTAGGCATATGAGAAGGGGCTAATGATTGCTGTTATTCCATTTACTTCAAAGGTATACTTTATGATTTTGATTATCTGTTTCAGTGGTTATATTCAGTTGTGTGCTACATTATGATTCAATTTCGTTTTGCAGGTCCTTGAACCATGCCATAACAGTCTTGCTTATCAACCTCCTAATCCTTGGACTATGGGCATTTTAGGATTGCTTGCTGAGATTTATTCAATGCCAAACTTGAAAATGAACCTCAAGTTTGACATAGAGGTCAGTTTTTTTTTTTATTTGTTTGCTTGCTGGAGTGTCATTTTCACAATTTTGTCCCTCATCCACATTTATTGAAATCTTTGTGCTATACAGGTTTTATTCAAAAATCTTCTTGTTGATATGAAGGATGTCACACCAACTTCTCTCCTGAAGGATAGAAAAAGAGAAATTGAAGGAAATCCTGATTTCTCTAATAAAGACGTTGGGGCATCTCAAGCACAAATGATTACTGATATAAAATCTGGTCTTGTACCTCCAGTAAATCAAGTGGAATTACCTCTTGAAGTCACCAATCCATCTAATACAGGGCCTCATCCACATCTACTGTCTCAGGTTTGTTATTACATACATTTTTTAGGCTTTGGTGAACCCTTTTTCCTTATTAGTTAATAAATTGTTTCTGTCGATATTTCTGTATGTATAGTATGCTGGTCCTCTTCATATGTCATCGGCAGCATTGATGGAAGATGAAAAGGTTACACCTCTGGGACTGTCTGATCAACTTCCCTCTGCTCAAGGACTGTTACAAGCAACTCCATCCCCAGCACCTTTTTCTATTAGCCAGGTATGAAATCCAAAACTTGTTTCCCTTTGATCAATTTTAGCTTAATGGCACACTATTCTCAAGCATAACTGATTATCTCCACTTTGGCTTATAGCTTCCAACACAGATACCTAATATCGGGACTCATGTTATTATCAATCAAAAACTCAGTGGTTTTGGGTTGCAAATGCATTTTCAGAGGTATGGTGCTCTCACTATATTGTTCTGCTTCTTGTTTGAAACTATATGACCGATTTACTTTTTATCTTTGTTAATTTCAGAGCGGTACCCATTGCAATGGACAGGGCTATCAAAGAGATTGTGTCTAGTATTGTGCAGCGTAGTGTTTCCATAGCAACTCAAACAACCAAAGAGCTTGTTCTAAAGGTTTACATATTAGTGAAGCCTTGTTTCTAACTGCTTGATTTTGAAATTCCATTTTTTGTTTTTTCCTAATTTAATCTTTGCTACAGTAGACATATATAAGATGTTATGGTTTATAATGTCACAATTTTTTTAGTTGTGTTAGTATCTTTTAACTGCTGGTTGTTGTTGTTAGGTAATGTGTATAGAAATGGCTTTCGTAGTTTTGTTTTAACTGGACGCCTTCAACAGAAGAAGTTTGTGCCTGTTTGTTTTGCTTGCTTTTAATTTATGTAATTCATTTGCAGGATTATGCTATGGAATCTGATGAGACTCGTATATTAAATGCGGCACACTTGATGGTTGCTAGTCTAGCTGGGAGTTTGGCTCATGTTACCTGCAAAGTAATGCCTTTAAATATGATATATATCCTGTTTGTTTGTACCTTAGCAAATTCTTTTGGGATTTTACGCTTTTAGGCTCAATTTTGTTTTATTTTCTTCTCTCTAATGTATCTCTTTCTTTAAGGAACCATTACGGGCATCAATATCTGGTCAACTGAGGACTTCTCTTCAGAACTTAAATATATCTAATGAAATTTTGGAACAAGCTGTGCAACTTGTCACCAATGATAATCTTGATCTAGGCTGTGCCGTTATCGAACAGGCTGCTACTGATAAGGTTAGCTGCTAAATATGGTTTGTGGTTGTAGGTTTTAGTGGCAGTGTTCGCAGTTAGGGAAATGTGCTCTTGTTGCTTTATTAATTTGGTATTATAACAATTAGTTTTTGAGTATTTGCACCATATTTTAGATGTTTCTATTGCTTTAATTACCTAAGTATATCATAATGATATATGTGAACTACCAATTGGTCACCTCTGTAAATTTTTTGGGTTTGCAAGAATGAGTATTTATCAAATTGTATCCTTTTTGGTATGTGATTACTTGATTACTTTGTGAATCGTTTTCTGTATTATAATTAACTGGCGAAACAAAAGCAGGATGAAGTACCTCCATAGGCTCAATTTGTTTTATCCTTGTATTGTTTGAATGTATGAAAATGTACTACCCTAAAGAGCACCTCAATAGGTGCAATATCAATGTACATCGTGTAGGTGATGGCTTTCTTTTGATGTGTACTATATTCTGTTGGGGCCTATCTATAGAGTAGTTTAAATCCAATATTGATGGAAATATAGTATTACTTAGGTTTGATTATTCATCTTATTTTTATGTGATTTTTAACTTATATATTGCTTTTCGACTTTCGAGTAACTGGAGTTTTGAGGTTTTAAGATAATTGGTTAATACTGGTGGCTTGAACTACCATTTCTCTTTAGATTTTGAATTTATAGTGATAAACAATGCAAGTTCTTTTTCTTCTTAAGGGCTTGATCTGTTTAGTTGAATATTTATGACCTTGTTGTCTTTGATGCTATCAACTATTTTACAGGCAATAAACACCATTGATACAGAGATTGGTCAACAACTCTCTTTGAGAAGGAAGCATCGAGAAGGTATGGGTTCTACATTTTTTGATGCCAATTTGTATCCACAAGGTTCAATGGGTGGTGTTCCAGAGCCTCTTCGCCCCAAGCCTGGTCAGTTGTCCCTCTCACAACAGCGTGTCTATGAGGTATGCATTTGGCTTGTGTTAAATATTTGGTGGGATTTATCACTAAGAAGAACACTACAGAGTTTAACGTCTGATCTGATTGTTTATATTAGGACTTTGTTCGGCTTCCCTGGCAAAACCAGTCTAGCCAGAGTTCACATTCTCTGTCTCCTGGTGTTGCTGTTCAATCTGGCAATGCTGGTCTTTCTAGCACCAATGGTTCTGTATCAGGGCAAATTAACCCTGGTTACCCTGTGAGCACAGGATATGAAGGAGTGTCTCGACCATTGGATGATATGACAGAATCTAATTTGGCTCCACATTTTAGGTCCAGATTTTGTTTACTATGCCCATTTCTTAGTCAGTCTTTAATTCTACTTTTATTCATAATCTGCATTTAATGTTACAGTGCTCCCTCAATTCACATTAGAGCAGCTGATAGTGTTTCCCAGCATAGTTTGGAGAAAGACTCTGTTGCCTCATTTCCTTCAGCTGCTTCCACCCCTGAGTTGCATGCGGTGGATTCTTCAGATGTGAAAGTGAGAATTTTACATAAACATCATTATTGCTTGTGCTTTTAATGTGTCATGATTGCTGTCTAAATGCATTTTGAACCATTGCAAGGAATCTGGAACTTCTCAGCCACTAGTTACGTCAGGTGCTGTGGAGCGCCTTGGAAGCAGTTTCTTGGAGCCTTCCCTCACTACAAGAGATGCCCTAGATAAATTCCAAATTGTCGCACAAAAGGTTGTTACTGATCTTCATAGATTCTTGTGATATTAATTGGTGTATCCCATTGCAGAAGGTTAATATATCCAGTATATATATATATTTTTCTATACAATTGTACAAATTAGTGTGAATAAATTTCCACTGTTTTGCTCCATTCATGGAGGGTGGTTCATTAATTTCGAATAACAGGCTTACCTTTGGTAGCATGTGTTGGGATTTGGCAGGTAGTACAAAGTATACCAATAAGAAAAGCTTCATAATATTGTGTGGCTGTCGTGATGGAAGAGTTGTCCTAGCTAACTAGGTTTTTGAAATTATTGGTGAATTGACACATTACCAATTTTAGTTAATTTCAGCATTGTCTGTTTCATGTGACATCTTTTATAATCTGTTACATTTTATGATTAAATGCAAATGCTACTGAGGTTGGAAATTTGACATGGCTTGGTTTCTTATGCACTTGGTGTTGTTCTTGTTAGTTTAACCTTTTAGGATAAGTGAAGTAGTAAATTCAACTTATGCCTGGTATTGCATGTGTTTAGAAGCAGATAGCTTTTCTGAATGGTATACCTTTTAAAATAAATGCTTTCACCTCGATGGAATTTGCTTTGTATTCTTCTTTGATTTTTGTTGTCTTCTTATCCATATTGACAAAGGGGGATAAAGGTGCTGTTAGGCATCTATGGGGGGACATTGCGGAAGCCAATATGTTGGATGAGCACTTGCTCAGTGTTTATCCTCCGAAGGGGCATTAACCTAAACCTACATATTTGAAATAGGGCCACCAGTTGTGCCATGGGTTGTTAATTATTTCTCTTGTTTGACTATTATCATGTAAAGTTTGTTTCAGATGTTTATTGACAGCCTGTATTCCATTGGTTTCAGTTGGAAGCAATGGTCAGCAATGATTCCAGGGATGCAGAAATACAGGTATAATGCTTGGTTCAGAATTTTCCAATTTATAACGTATTTTTCCTTGATAATTTCCTTTCCATGTTTTAATATCTGTTTTGGGTTCTTACTTTTGTTTAGGGTGTCATTTCTGAGGTTCCTGAGATCATACTAAGATGTGTTAGTCGAGATGAGGCAGCTTTAGCTGTGGCTCAAAAGGTGGACTTTCCTCTTTAGGGAATTTTATTATTCATGAATTTTACTGAAAGTCTAGTGCCTGATGTATCGTCATAAATTGGTTACTTCAGTAGTTTCATACTTATTGTCTGCCTTACGTCTGATACTCCCACTTTCAAGAAGGAATTGACAGTCATTAGTTTTTTAATCAGGTTTTCAAGGGTTTGTATGATAATGCATCAAACAACATTCATGTCTCTGCTCATCTTGCAATTCTGACTGCAATTCGTGATGTTTGCAAGCTTGCTGTCAAGGAGCTTACTAGTTGGGTATGTTTTGTTGAACTGACAAAAGTTGCCATTATTTGAATGAAGAAATTCTATAGATTGTTAGAATTTAATTTTTGACTTTCTTTTATTTACCTTTAATAATATTTTCTGCATACATTTTTTTATAAATAAAAGTTGTTTATTCTGATAAAAATTATTGAATCTCGTTCCTTAAATTTGGTGGTTTAGGTTTCTTATGTTGTTTACAGATAAAGAACAAAATATTTAAAGATGAAAAATAGTAAATGATTGTTACAAAAGATGTTTTACATTTGGCCGAAAACCAATACAATCTTGAAACAGTTTTCTAGTCACTGATGTTTTAGTTATATTATGGATACAATCAATCAAGGAGGAAAAGGCAGTCAGCTAGCAGCTATTTCAGCAGTAACATTTGCCCATGATTTGTTTATAAAGTGTCTATTGTATACTCGTTGCAGGTAATTTACTCGGAAGAAGAAAGGAAATTTAACAAAGAAATTACTGTTGGCCTCATCCGTAGTGAATTGCTAAATCTTACCGAGTATAATGTTCATATGGCAAAACTTATTGATGGAGGAAGGAACAGTATGTCAAAAGAAAATATCTTTTATTGTTTTACCTTTTTCTTATATTATTATAATGAATCAACTTCACTGGATGAATGTGCAGAGGCTGCAACGGAATTTTCCATTTCCCTTCTTCAAATCCTGGTTATTGAGGAACCTAAAGTTATTTCAGAACTTCACAATCTTGTTGATGCTTTGGCTAAGGTTTGTATCTACGAATGAGTATCTGCATTCCTTACTATGCCCTCAATAACTCCTTGCAATATTTTATTTTTCAGCTTGCTACAAAGCCTGGATGCCCTGAGTCATTACAACAGCTTCTTGAAATGCTCAAGAATCCTGCTTCTCTATCTTCTAGTAATGCTGGAAAAGAGGATAAGGCAAGACAATCAAGAGACAATAAGGTCACGAGAATTGTGGTTCAACTGCCAAATGCCAATATTGTTATGCACTTTTTATCTTCTGTTTTTATCTGTGGTTGTTTTTGGTTTTCCTGAAATCCGGATTTTTGTCACCTCATGAAAAACAGGGTCCTGGTCTGCTACCTGCTAACAGGGAAGAGTTCAACAGCATAGATTCTATTGAACCAGATCCTGCTGGGTTCCGGGAGCAGGTATCCTGATCTTGAAATCAATAGATGAGTTTGAATTTTGTTGTATGGCTATTTGGCACAAATTGTGTTGTATATGGATCATAACTGCTATATAATTTGACTGTAAAGATGCATTGTGTCTATATGATTTGTATTGTTTTTATCCAATTTTTTATTTCCTTCAGCTGTACCTGAGGTTTGACTAAGTAGAATAATTCATGAATGTGAATATAAAAGAGCTAATTACACCTTAAAATGCTCTCAAAATTATGATTATTTTTTTTAGCATCCTTGTAATATTTATAAGCTTTGGCATAGGAGAAGGAATATAATGTGCAAGAGTGCTATATTTTAGGCCTGTATGTATAAACAACATAATGAAGAACTTATGGAATGATTGCCTATATATGTTGTATTTAGGGAAAAATGTGTTTTTAGTCCCTGTAAGTCCTTGTACATTCATATCAATGGAAATGTGTTTTTATTTTCATCTATAATAAATTAGGGACTAAAACCATTTTTTTAAAGTTTGAGAACCAAATTCATAGATATAAAAGTACCATGACCTTGACCATGTTTGACTGAAAGTATAGGTACTAAAGACATTTTCCCCTTATTTTTTACAATTGAATTGAAAATAAACTTAAACTGTTTTCATATAAGAAGTTACTGTTTTAAAAATCGTTCTGTAGAGCTTATTGAAGTAAGCCATGTTAAAATTAGATATGAATTAAATATGTTTTTAGTTCATGAACAATTTTTTTTTACTAGTTTTAGTCCTTGAATTTTTGCTGATTTTCATTTAGTCCCTGGACTTTTTTTCCTTCTAACATGTTTGGTCCTTGACATTATGATTTTTTGTTCATGATGGAAAATTTTTAGGACTAAACCAAATAATTTTTTTTTCAGGGAATATAAGTGAAAATTGGCAAAAGTACAAGGACTAAATATATTTAATCCATTAGATATTTTATTGTTTGCTGTTTCTAGTTGCTTTGATAGATGTCTTAGGCTGTATTCTCTCTTCTATCATAAGCTATAATCAAAAGCTCTCTCAAACACTTACATGAGTGCTTATGTCATAGACTCATAATATAAGTCCACATAAGCTGTAAATAAGTTTTACCAAACGCACCCTTTGTGAAGTTGCAATGCCAAAATAATTGGAAATTTTACTGGATCCTCTTGCGCACAAGAGTTGTCATTTAGAACCAGATATTTCTGAGTTTTGGTCTGTTTCCAAACTTTGTACTTTTTAAAAGCTATATTTTGGAAACCTTAAAATCTGATAGTAATGCATTTAATAATACTACATGCTTGTTGAGGTAATCTGGAATTGTTGCTAAATTAATTAAGTCATAAAAGAAAATATAGAATGTATTTGCTAAATTCTTTCTTCAATGATCTCTATGAGACAGCAGAAAGAAAATTTGAATTTCTAATGATTACTTTTTATACACATATTGTAGGTTTCCATGTTGTTTACAGAATGGTATAGGATATGTGAACTTCCTGGTGCCAATGATGCAGCTTCTACTCATTTCATCTTACAATTGCATCAGAATGGGCTTCTTAAGGGAGATGATCTTACAGATCGTTTTTTCCGACTGTTGATGGTGGCATTTCTTTCTTTGCGTTGGTTACTCTTTTCTACTGATAACCCGTTGTCAATTTAACCTCTTTCCTTCGTTTTATTCAGGAACTAGCTGTTGCACATTGCTTATCCTCTGAGATGATTAATTCAGGGTCACTGCAATCTCAACCGCTGCAGGCAATGTCATTTCTTGCAATTGATATTTATGCAAAGCTTATCTTCTCAGTCTTGAAGGTTGTACACTGTATATCTTTTTCGTTTCTCTTATTCTTTTTTTGGTTAGATTTAGCATCTTAGCTGTTTGGTTGGATGTGGAACAGGGACCAAACAAACTCTTTCTTCTTTCCAAGGTGTGTAATAAACAAAAAATTGAAGGCAGCTCTCTCTCTCTCTCTCTTGGGTGATTTAATTGTGGTCTAATACTTCTCATTGCTTTATGGCAGGTTCTGGCAGTTACTGTCAGATTCATTATAAAAGAAGCAGAGGAGAAGAAGACCTCTTTTAATCCAAGGCCACTTTTCAGATTATTCATCAACTGGCTTCTAGATCTTGGTTCACTTGAGCCTGTTACTGATGGTGCAAATCTCCAGGTGTTTGTAAATTTCAATTACTTCTTCAATTGTTAATTAGTTTATTTGTTTTTATTTTTGGGGTACAAAACCCCCTTTTCCACGACTTGCTATATTAAAATGATCGAAATTTTGCTCTTATTGATGACTTCGGTCTTTGACATTTGTCAACAACTAATACAGAAGTTATTGTGAAAGTTATTAGTAAGCAATTAAGGTCACATGAAATGATGCTTTATGACAAAATGAATCTTTACATATATTCCATTTAGATTTGTTGTGAAATAAAAAAAAATGATGGTAAAACTAAACTGAGTTCAGAATCACAATACATCAGTGTTGAATTGAATAAATCAATCTGATGTAATTTTGCAATTCATATATATTTATATGTATTTTCTTAAAATTAAATAATTAAGAGTTGTTGACATACATATTGAAAATAAAATTTGCTATCTTGAAGGACATCAACAAGATGCAAATCATGTCAAAGAAACGAGGCATGGTGCGGTTGTAACACGTTATACCCTATAACATAGTTAACACTTGTTTTGTGAGTTTGGAACTGTTGAATTTTATCAGTAGATGCTTTTATAACTGACCAATAAACAACTGGTCATTAAGCTGGTTATTGTTTTGTTTATAATTGAACTATAAACTGGTCATTAAGCTGGTTATTGTTTTGTTTGTGCTGATTTTGATTGCTTTTGCCAATGCATTTCAACCCCCTTTCACCCACCCAATAAGTTAATGTTACAGACGTGTGTTTGACTAATACCACTTCATATATTGCAGATTTTGACTGCTTTTGCCAATGCATTTCATGCTTTGCAGCCCCTCAAAGTTCCTGCATTCAGGTCAGGATTGTTTACTTGGGATTCATAGTTGGCTGTGGTTTAAGTTTAATGGCAATGTTGTAATGGAATGCTATTTGATTGTAGCCTTGTTAACTGTTTGTGTTCTGTTATCATGGAATTGCTGATGTTGCTGGATTTGTTGAGAATTCCTTTTTGTGGGAAGATGGAAGTTTTGTAGATTAGGAGTCGTTTACATAATTACATGTAGTTTACTTTTTCTCGTCTTTCCTATTTTAGTCATGCATCTTTTGCTAGATTTCCTTGGAGAGACCTTAGCTAGAGTTGTTCTTCTTTAACATGATTTTAAGAGGTTCTGGTCATGGTGGCTCATATCCAAGAATTGTAATAGTAGAATTTGAAACTTTTTACATATGATGCAAAACACAATGATAACACATTCTCAATTTAGTAGTAGACTTGTATTTTATCATTGCTCAATTGGTATGGAAGTATATGTAAAGAGGCTGGGTATTTGACCTTCAAATTTATGTTGAAGTAAGACTTTGAACTGGTTCTGAATACATCAGAAAAATAATACACATTAACTATGCTTGACTTACGCTGGAATTTGGGTTGATCATGTACTCTTTTATTTTATGCAATCTTAAAACTGAGGCTGACTTAACCTAAGACTAGTTTTCTCACTTTTAAATCTAATCTGAGCAGACTTGATTTATAGTCTGCTATCTTGGCATTGTTTGACATGCACCTGAGTATTGATTATGATATGATAATTTTTGGCGATGCCTTTTTCCTTATTGAAAGGAGTAATAGGTGGCTATCTATCCATCCATCCATCTTTGTGTGTGTGTGTCTTGCTTGACTGTTTTGGCAAGACAAATATCCGCCTTCAAGGTTCTTGAATTTAACATAATATGTACTCTATATAGAATTTGAACTTCCACTAATGTCCATAAGGTATTTTGTTCTCACTGGCTTTGCATATATATTGGAATGATAATGATATGTTAATTTCCTGATATTAGCTTTTATCATTGTTTGGACTCTGGAGTGAGTACCTTCTATTATGTTCATTTGATTATTTTTGTCTGTACAAGTGAAGTTTGCAAATCCTATTTTATCATATATGTCCAATTTTTAATACTTGTTTTGTTTGATTCGTTTTATAACTTGTTCTTTTTGTGGAAATGTTTCTTCAGCTTTGCATGGCTTGAGTTGATTAGTCACAGGAGCTTCATGCCAAAAATGTTGACTGGTAATGGTCAAAAAGGTTGGCCTTATATCCAAAGGTTGCTTGTAGATCTGTTCCAATTTATGGAGCCTTTTCTGAGGCATGCTGAACTTGGAGACCCGGTTTGTCTCTATCTCTGCCTCAATTATTTCCTTCCAACCTGGTCTATGCACAATAATGCTTCTTACATCTACACTTTTTTTCTTTTAAAATTTATGATCAGGTTCGTGTCCTTTATAAAGGCACACTCAGGGTGCTCTTAGTGCTACTTCACGACTTCCCTGAGTTTCTTTGTGACTATCACTTTACCTTTTGTGATGTTATTCCTCCAAGTTGCATTCAGATGAGAAATATAATTCTAAGTGCATTTCCGCGTAGTATGAGGCTGCCAGATCCATCTACTCCTAATTTGAAGGTTTTAGAATCTCATATTTCCCCTTAAACGTTTTGTTAAGGTTAAGGAACATTAATTTGATGTGATTTCCGTGTGCTTATGTATGCAGATTGATTTGCTTCAAGAAATAACCCAATCACCCCGCATTCTTTCTGAGGTTGATGCAGCTCTTAAGGCAAAGCAGATGAAGGCTGATGTAGACGAATACCTTAAGGTCTGACTCCATCTCTCTTTGAATTGGTTTGTTATTAATCGATGGTTTGTTATGTTATAATTCAGCAGAATGGTTATGTTTGTTGCATTTGTTTCCTATCTATAATTTGTTGATTCTTTTCGGTGTAGATTTTCTTCCTTTTATTTCTTTAATTGTTCACTCCAATTCCGTTTTTTTTTTCAGCTACTGCTACGTACATACTATCTTGCTTAGATTTTGTATTTCTATGTTCATCTTTTTTAACTTATATTTTATTTACAAGTGTTCAATCAAATTTTCTGCAGACAAGGCAACAAAGTTCTCCATTTTTATCTGAATTGAAAGAGAAGCTGCTTCTCTCACCCAATGAAGCTGCCTCTGCTGGGACTCGGTACAATGTTCCATTAATCAACTCACTCGTGCTATATGTTGGAATGCAGGTACTTTAAATTAAAACTGTTCTATTTTTATATTTTCCTCTGCATTAATGTGTCAATAACCTCATGCTATGGACTAAGATTGTAATTTTAAATTGTAGTTTCAAAATTATGGATGTTTTTGTTCTAAGCAAGCATAGTACTATAAATCTTGTTTAGTGCACAACAGTAGGTTTTTAGTGTCTATATTAGTATATTTATATTTATATTAGCAAATCTGTCTTGAGCCAACCCAAAAGCTTAATCCGTTAGGTGAAGACCTGCATTGGTCTTGAAGCAGGGATAATGCAGGCCCACTTGGTGTTGAAATTCATTAGGATAATGGTTCAATGTTGAAGATTTGTGATAGTTTATGTCTAGGTTCTGTCCTCAAGAGTAATCCGTTTTTATAAGCTTGAGAAAACAGGATAGAAAATGTTAGTTAATAAAAGAAAGCATAAGATGGGATGGAGAAAGAAAAGGCAAGCCGAAAACCGTGAAGCTATGATCTCTAATATTATGTTTTTATTCCATTGTTTAAAAGCATTAGAAAATGATATCTATACAAAAATGTTTGTAACTGGTAAGAGCTGTCTAGTGATCCAACCCAGCTCTCCCCCGGATTAGCTCCCCACGGGTTGGTTAAAAGGTAAGCCAACTGATCCCGACTCTCTTTGGTGAGTCAAGGGTTACTCATCCTGGCTCAACCCACCATGGGTTAGGAGGTTAAACAGGTTGACTCCCTTAAAATAAATAAATAAAATTAAAACCTTATATATTTTGTGGCAAAATATTATAATAATTGAACAATTAGATTTTAAACTAATGTTGCACCAGAGGATAACTACTAATCAGGGATGGGATATGTTATATACATATAGAAAAGTGAGTTTTTATTTGTGTACTCTCAACCCGTGAACCAGCTCAGTGCACCATAGGTTCAACCCGCAAGCCAAGTGAGCCGGGTCACATTTAGTTCGTAATTGTGGTGGGTTAATTTTTAACTACCTAATAATCTGGTTTTGGGGTTGGCTCATGCGTTTCGGTTCATTTTGACAGTGTTAGTCAACAACATATGTGATGATTACCAAGTAACAAATTAGTAACTGAACTGTGACTAACTTTAAGTTGTAGCTATAAATAGTTAACATAAGTGCCTAACAAACTTTTGTGTTTGGGTATAGGCAATCCAGCAGCTTCAGGGAACTCCCCATACACAAGCATCAGCAAATGCTTTCCCATTAGCCGTATTTTCTGTTGGTGCTGCATTGGATATTTTCCAGACACTAATTGTGGACTTGGACACTGAAGGACGCTACCTTTTCCTAAATGCTATTGCTAACCAACTGCGTTATCCTAACACTAATACACACTACTTTTCCTTCATCCTTCTCTACTTGTTTGCAGAATCAAACCAGGTACATCTAAACTTGTGCCATATTTTTATCTTGTAGCCCAATTACACGAATTCAAAAACAAAAAGTGAAGCCTGTTTTGCACTTCTATTAAACTTATATTGCCAATGTTTTATAGCATACATTTAACTGTATATTCATTTTGTGACATGGCAGGAAGTTATCCAAGAACAAATTACTAGGGTCTTGTTAGAACGCCTAATTGTTAACCGTCCTCATCCCTGGGGCCTCCTCATTACCTTTATTGAGCTGATCAAGGTATATTCGTTTTTTGCTTGTGTAATTTTCTCTTTTATCAACAGTCTCTTTTCTTCTGTGTTAACAGAATCTATTTTCATCTTTCCAGAATCCTAGGTATAATTTCTGGAACCGGACTTTCATAAGATGTGCGCCGGAGATTGAAAAACTTTTTGAATCAGTGTCAAGATCTTGTGGAGGTCCAAAACCAGTTGATGATAGTATGGTCTCGGCTTGGGTCTGACTGTAGTGTCCATAGTATTTTCTGCTTTGTTATTTCTGTGTAGGCTAGCTAACCATGTTAATTGTTTACACTGTTGTTAACCGAACATTGTTGTGTCTACATTGTAAATGATGTATTTGTTGTGAATTATATTGTAGCTGGAGTCTTAATTCCAGATGATACGTAGTTGTAGAGCTTCAATACGACATCATCATATAAATGGAGAAAAGAAACTGATTTCCTCTTCTGCTTTCTCGCTATAAATAAAGCTCGTTAGTCGTTAGTTACCATAGTAGTACTACTTTCTAAAAGAGCCAAAATTTTACCTTGGTTTTAGCAAGATATAACCCTTCACCATGGTATGAAATTTAAAGTGCCCGATACTAAGTTGTTTGGTTTAAATGGAAAGAGGAGAATTTCTTAGGAAATAAAAAATCACTATTTCTAAAATGGATTTTTCTACTCCCTTATTTACAACATAACATATTTTCACTTACCAAACAAAGTAAAAATAAAGTTGAAATAACGGGAGAAAAATCAAAATCAAGTTAACTTCACTCACGAAAAACTTGATTCAACCCATTTGTTCAACGGAACAGCATTAGTTTCTATTCACGAAAGGGTGGTGTAAAAGCTCCAACACTACTACTCTCACCCTCCAACCCTTCTCAAGATATCTTACTGGAAAACGTTTGGAACTTCAGCGATGCCTTGAGTGTGGCATCTTCAGCCTCTCGACAAAGCAATTTGCACTCATATATAAACTCTAACCAACTATTTTCTGCACAATGAGCTACAAAGCTCTGGTAGTAATAACAAGGGACAATATGTGTATTAATGCTGCATGGATTTAACATAATGGTAGGCATGAACCCCAAGAAGTTTCTGAAGTGGAGCGACTCTCGGATGATTGCATCCGTTGAAATATTTTCATTGTTGATCGCCTCAAGATCAGCTTTTGCTTTTCTGCCTTTTCTCTCACCATGCATATTTTCGTTTGAGTCCTGGCTGAAGCCCTGAATTGTTTTCTCTCCAGCTCATTCTGGAATCACAGGAGAGAGGATTAATGAAAAAAAATTGGGACAATCAAGACATATTGCTAATGTGGCATAAGGTGACAGCCCCTCACAAAATCCTGCTAATGTGGCATAAGGTGACAGCCCCTCACAAAATCATGCCATATAGTCTAGTCAAAAAATTCAGATCAAAATATGGGCATAGATTGTTAAACATCCAAGGAATAATCACGTCCACTTTGAAAAAAAAAAAAAAAAAAAAACTAATAGTTACTTTTGCACATTCACGTCTAGAAGGGTATAACTTATGAACAATCTACATATTAAAATGTATGTCATGAATGGAATAAGCTTACATGCCTGAAATTTATCCATCTTGTCCATAGCCTTTCTTGTTTGCAGCAATTCCCAATCATTTATAGCGTTTTCCTTCCTTCTCATCCTATCAACATATTCATCATCAAAACTTGCCTTGTTAGTGTCTCAAATCTATGAAACCAACAAAAGTGATGTTTTAGATTTTTCTGCTTTGCTCTCACCCACCTGAGCATAAGTTCAACATGCTTGGCCCTCCTACGTGCATCTCTTTCAGCTTCCTGTTTACTCCTCCACACACCATCCAATATGTCATCATAAGGTTCCATCAGTCTTGTGCGTTCATAGCCTCCACCTCCATATTTTGGGGTTTTGTGTGTGCAGGTCTGGCCCTGAAAAACAGGACTCTCTTCTCTAACACAGGGTAATGTTATGTTGTGAAGTTCATGCTCTGAAGCCCCAAGGTAGGTGTTGCATATTGCTGACAATCTCGAGTCTTCTTCTGGGCTTCTATTCCTCCCCGAATGAACAGATTCTGATGAAAACATTAGAGCATGCATCATGACTCTATATTTATGAATTTTGATCAAAATTACTATTTGCACATTATATTTTATGAATATTAATGCATATGAAGACACGTACGTATTTTATATATTTTAAAATAAACATATCTTTATATCAGATTTTCTATATATTTTAAAATAACTATAACGCCATATCATATACGTACATGTTTATGTAGATTATAGATCATGAGTATAAAGCAGCTACTAGGTACACATGCATGAGGCGATATGACAAACCTGTGAGATGGTTAGAGGATGTGCAGAACTTATTGGCATGTTCCAACCATTCATCAATATCTGAGAGGCGAGTTGACAAGTTGTTATCAATGTCAATATTGCTGGCGATGCCAAAGTTCTGGAGTTCAGAAACAAAATAAGGGTAGGTTGGTGAGTAATGAGTTCATCATTATTGTTTAATGATGACAAACACCAAACCAGGTGAATCAAGAAAATTGTTATTAATGACATGAAAATGGAGCATTGGCAGACATTTTCAAGAACCCAAAAAAGAAATATATGAAAAGAATCAAAAGGCACCAAGAAAACAACACGTGCATGTCCAAGACATGTGAGAGATGACAAAGAAAATGAGCCAAAGAAGGAGTTTCTTGAAATACAAACCTGGTTACTTGGAGTGGCGAATTCAGTGGCATAGTGTGAATAATGGGAGTTATGTGTGGTTGAGGGAGATTCTGGCAGAGCAGTGATGAGGGAACTCATGCTCCACGCTGGCTGCACTATGTGATTAGTACTATCCATCTTGTCACTATTTTTGAAGCTTCTTGCTGAACAAGAAGAAGAAGAGGAATCAGATTGGTTGTAGAACAAATTGGACATGTTATTATTAGCTTCCTTGTGTGTGTGTGTGCTTTTTGTTTCCTACATTGCCAATGTAGCGAATAGTCTCTCTCTCTCTCTGGTGCCTTTCTCTAACGAGTTTAGTTTACATGATTTCATATGTTTTTTGAAAGTATAATTCTTAGGAAGATATGGTGCACAGTAAGTATTTCAATTCATTCTAAAACGGGGTGAGGGGTGAATGTTAAAAAGGAAAAAGAACTCTTTCATCATGTTTTCTTGTTGGGATGCATATTTCACTAAACTTAATAAAGTAAATAATAGATTAAAATAATTATATCTTGGTAGATCAAATAATTTCATCTTATCTCATTCTATCTTATTATAATTAACTTAACATATTCATAGTTTTTTTTTTTAAAAGTCAATACTTTGTATATTCTTGTATTATAAATTAAAATATCTAATTTAGACAGTGAAGTTGTCATTTTTCTCATTATTTCGGTTAGAGATTTTTAACTCTTCTTTTAAAAACAAATTGTCAATTTTCTCAAACTACCAACATTTTATCTTAACTTTATACATGATTTTCTAAATTGCTTATCCATTTCAATTTTAAAAAAATCTTATATCATAATTTAAATTATTTATTATACAATAAAATCTAATTTACATATTTAAATATATTTATTTATTTAAAAATTTTAATTATAATATAATTTATAAATTAGTATTTTAGCAAGAAGAAAGAAGAAAGAAGAGGAAGAATAGACACTTAAGAAGTATTTTTTTTTTTTTTAATTTATTCTATGTGAATGCCACATGACGGCCAACATGGACATTACTTGACACATAATGCGTGACTACAACTCCATTGACAACGTTACTAAACAAACACCCACTTTTATAGACTAACGTAAACGATAAAATGTAGTTTTACTTGGAATCTCAAAGGGTAAGATTTTTATAGGGTATTATACTATCTGTCTAAAGTGGATCAAAATGTCACGAGAAGAGGGATTGGATATTGACAATGAAAACTTTTCCAGAGTTTTTTGAACTTTTACTTGAGGCTAACTTGGTGTTCTTAATGTTTAACTTTCGAAGTGGTTATTTACAACAATTATTGCATGATGCTTTAGTTTATTGTTAAGGACTTAACATCCAGTCACATATGCTCATGTTCACAAGATACATTTTGTATATGCAAAATTCCATGTTCAGAAGATCATGAGTGTTGAGTGTTGACAACGACACTGTTCTGAAATCTTCTTAATAGGCTTTGTAATACTTGTTCATGTCCTTGACATTTAAACTTGTCTTGTTTATGTGAATGGTGAAATATTTTGGTTTTCTTGAATTCTTCTGTTATAGAGTCCATTTGAGCTTCATCAGATATAAAAGTTTAGTTTTTGTCTTTCTTTTCTTTTTCTTTTCTTGAGCCTAGCTTTATAAGGAACAATGAGAAATGAACACTTCTCTGTGGCTAGTTTCTAGGAATAGAAAATCAAGATCACTGATATGGGCCTGGCCTTATGGCTATTGATGCTATCTTCCTACACAGACAGACCCACATAAATGCCTACATCTAATGTTCATTATTTCAAGCTTCTTCAGCATAATGGCAAAGTTTGTTTACACTTTTGAACCTTTCTACGCAAATTTTCTGTCCCCTGTGTACTTTTGTTTAGTAAAGTTGCCCCTGTTTTGACATATTTATTCAAACATCAAACTAGTACCTTTGCAAGATATGACTCTACATCTATGCACCTAAAAAGGAAGCAAAAAAAATCTTGCAATTTAATGTTTGCTCATGATATGAAGCTAATTATGACTAGTTCTTTGGATTTCTATATTCCATGTGAGAGTTCGCTAGTTTCTTCACTTGCAAAGGAATTAATTATGGTATGGTTACCTGTTAAACAATCCTAAAATCTGAGTTTCCTGCTCCTATTATCATTTGATGTTTCTTGAGATTACTAATCAACACTGGAAACAGATAAAGAAGAAACACGTTTCATTCATTATTTCTGTTAAGCATAGGAAAAATAAAAGCATTTTTACAATTCCCTCCAGAACGGCCCGTTCTCCCTCCAGAATGGTCCGTTCTCCCTCCAAAACGGTCCGTTCTCCTTCTAGAACGGTCCGTTCTCCTTCCCAGAACGGCCCGTTCTCAACTACAATATGTAGTTCAATTCAGTAGCTTGGAACGGCACGTTCCAGTTTGGGAACGGCCCGTTCTGGGCTACTGAATCAACCTCTTTTTTTTTTTTTTTTTTTTTTTTTTTTTTTTAACAATGTTACAGATTCGATCGATACTTAAATATAAAACTGCTTAGAAAGTTGTTTTAAGAATATTTCTTAACAATTTTGATGCTCAAATCCAATTTTATGTTTTTTTTTCTAAAGCTTTCATACTTGATTTATAAATCATTTGAACTGATTTAAAGTAACTTTAGTATAGCCGATTTGTATAATTCAAATATGTAGTTTTACAATAAAGTTAAGCTTGTTCAAAAATTCTTTCAAATATGCATTCTGAATCTTTGATGTTTAGAATGTTCAGATGCAGAAATGATATGTGGTGATTAATAACAATTTAAACAAAGGAATATATATATATATATATATATATATATTATACAAACTATTTATATACACAAGATCTTAGATTCAAATCTTATTGTTATCATTATAATTTTGATAAATAAAAAGTATTTATCATGATTTAACTTAAATAATACTTGGTTATATTTGATCCTATGACATTATATACTCTTCTATTAATCTAATGAATGATATTATATTAATGGTTTATATTTAATCCATTATATCAATAGTATAAATTTAATTCATATCAATTTACTATTTAATGATATGAAAAACACATGAAAAAACTAAAAAAACAACATCATTCAATAAAAATAGCCCATCATTAATTGCAAGTTGGTGTTTACATGGATACATCATACTTACATATGCCCATAACAAAATAATACATTCATTACAACCGGATGCTAAACATGTAGGGACACAACAAAAATAATAAAAAGTATTTTTTAAACTTGTACCATCCAATTCTATCCACTTTAGCTGACGTTCTCTTATTCACCTGCTTACCCATACTAGACCTCAAGCACGTTATAAAACGAAATCCTAAATAGTTAATTCTTAAAATTCTATAGGATACCTTGACATGAATATTTTTTAGAATATCGTAATCAAACATATTATATTACTTAATTTATCAAGAATAATATCTCTATGCAATCACCAAGATTTATCACTTAATATTATTTGTAAATCTAAAGATAAGATCCATTAACTATATATAAAACATTATATATCGTTCTATCATAATCTCATTTTTATCCAAAATTCTTTTTTAAGTTAGAGTGTCTTTGCATCTATTTTTATCTTTGTGGATATTGGAGTCACCATGTCATCATCTATATGATTATAGCATTTTACAAATTTTGATAAAAACAAAACTTACTTGCAACTCATAAGTTTCACATATCAAACAAAATTAAAAATCTATTTAGATACAAATTTAGAAACATTTAAAAAAAGATATGTAAATTTTTTTTATTTTTAATAAAAAACTCTAAAAAATACTTCTAATTTATATATAAACATATTCTAATTATTTAACATAAAAGGAGTTAACATTAAAAACATAAAACACCCATAAACAACATACTTACATGTTCAAAACCCTGTTCTAAACCTTCTGTAAACATAAACTACCGACGCCTTCGCCAATGCTCTTCGAAAAAAAAAATTTCATGTTTCCATTTCAAAAACATCTTTATCGTGTTATCATATCCCAAGCATTAAGTATAAATAGCAGACAAAAACTAAAATAAAAATAATAAAATAAAATTTTTTAACTATAAAAGTTAAAAAATAATTTTTGTAAAATTATATATTTCCTCTATTCTCAGTTATTTAAAAAAAACAAATTAAAATTATACACATATTAAAAAATTTAGTTATTTATATTAAATTTGATTAATTTTATAATATTTTTTAAAATTATCTTTATTATAAATATTAAAATAATATAATTAAAAAGTTATGCATTAAAAAAGATATCTTAACAAGAATATAATGGACAATCTATATATATATATATATATATATA